AGATGCGGAGGCGCAGCCCGGCCGCCCGCGGCGAGGGATGAGCCTAGACGGGGAGAAGATGACCGAGGAAGCCTACCCTGACGAGTGAGCGGGGCCGGGGGCGGCGGGCGGGCGGGGGGGACGGAAGGGGTGGCAGCCTTTGTTGCCCCGGCGGGAAGCGGTGCGGGTCGCTCACCCCCGCACCCCGCGCACGGGCGGACCGACGGACCGGCCGCGGGCGGACAGAGGGACGCGGACACGCGCGTTCGTGTGCGCGCCGCCCGCCCGCGCATCCGCCATTTCGCGCTCCCCCCGGGCCGCGCTTATTTGCATACGGCCCTTTCATTCATAAAAACCCCCGGGAGGGCGGCGCGGCCCCGCCGGGGTGCGGGGCCCCGGGGCACCGCGGGGAGGGGGCGCAGCCCCGCGCCGCCGCCGCTCCCCGCCCCGGCCGAGGGGCTCGGGGCGCCCGGCGGGGGCGGTCGGAGGCGGAAGCGGCGGGCAAGGGGAGAGGCGAGCGCTGCGCGCCCCCGCCCCGCAGCCCCAGGTCTGGGGGGGTCGGGAAGCGGAGCCGGGGGGGGACACACGACGTCGCGGATCCCCGCCCCGGCCGCCGCCGTTTTGTGAATAGGAGGGCGGCCGCCGCCGCCGTCACATGACGCCGCATTCATAAACCCGGTCACCGGCGGCCTCCCCATTCACCGTCACCCCCCGCCGCCCACCCCCGCTCCGCAGCCCTCCCGCCACCTCCCCGCTAATAAACCCCCCGAGAGGCCGCGCCGAGGCTTTCAAAATGCCTGACGGTGCCTTTTTCCGTTTTTTTAATGCTTTCTTCCCCAAAATAAAACCTAAAGCTATTGCAGCGGAATGGGAGGAAGGGCTCTTTCACGCCGTGCTGGCCCAAGGGCTGTTCCTGGCTATCTCCTTCGGGGTTTTGACAGTCAAGAGGAATGACTCACTGGCGTGCAGGACTGGGTTGGTGCCAAGCGCCATAGGATGTACTGTGCTTTAAAAAACGACTCCTTGCAGGGCTTATAAAGCAGCGTCAAAATTGTGCAACTTTCTGGCTGGGTTTTGAGGTCCGAAAAAATCATAATTGGTGGGATGTGCCACCCTTGCACCTTCATCGCGGTAAACTTATTTTAGGGCGATTTACTGGRGAAATATGAGTGGCGAAGGAAATGGCTTCTGCCCCCAATGTGCGTGTTGAGAGGAATTGTTATTTTGGCAGCACTGAAGGAAGAGTCTATAAATACGTGTTTATATGTAGCTTCTGAAATTGTGGTTATTTTGAAGTTGGTAAGTTTCCTGCAACAAAAAAAAACCCCAAAACAAAACCAAACAACAACAACAACAAAAAAACCCACCGAAAAAGAAGTAGTTGAGTTTCTCACGTGCAGAATGCTATGACCTAACAGGCTGGAAAAATGTGGCCAACTCATTTCCAATAAAAACCTGCTGGTTTTTCGTTTGGTTTGGGTTTTTATTTTTTTTTTTTACCTTGGTGAATTGGACAATAGGAAGAAAAGTGGGTCCCTCTGTCTGGGTTTCAGAACACKGGGCCAAACCTAACCTGTTCAGTGGACAAAAATCTGGCGCTCAACCAGCCTTCATCTTGAGGCAAGGTACTGCTCCAAATGTGTTTTCCTGCAGGGCTTGGTGCAGAGGTGAGTGTTGGTGTAAAACACCGAGAACTTGGCTCTGATGCTTAGCTGGGGTTTTTTTTAATTAATTGTAGGCTGCAGTTTGTTTTGGAGTGGATTCTTCTTCCATGTGCCGCCGCACTGCCATGCTGACAGAGGCTTCAGCTGATGGTTTTCATGTGTGTGGAAGCTCTTGGGTCACATCTCCTGGGGTCACCTGTCCACCCAGACACACGGTGCTTTGATCCCGTGGAGGTGGGCAGTGCTGGTGACCACGGGGAGCCATTCCCAGGCCACTGACAGCCGTTTTGTTGACATCTGGATGTGTTGACTTTTCAGGGTCAGTGATGCCTYGAGGTCCACACCTCCGTGCACATCCCAAGTGGCTTTTCTGGAGGCCGTGGTTCTGCTTGTGGAAGTTTAGTGCAGGCCTTGGCTTTGTAGGGCACAGCGAGGTGTTTTAGGTAAGCCATGGTTTCCTCTGTAAGCTCCTCGCTTCCAGCCTTGCATTGATTGATAGCGTTGCTGAAGCCGGTGACTCATGGGTTGTTTTTTTCATTTCGGTGGTGGGTGAAGTGATTTGATTTTTTTTTTTTCTCCAATATATATGGTGTTAAAAGAAATAAGGACAGGCTCTCCTGATAAGTTTTCTCAAGCTGTCAGAACAATGGTAGTATAGCGTGCTATTTGCCCTAGATATCTGGCTTTAATTTGCATAGCTATTCTTGTTTCACTGAGTGCACTGTGAGCAAATGTTAACAGCCAGATTACAAAAAAAGGACCACTGTCAGGATTCCTTTTAAAATAACCCTCTTCAAGTAAATAACAAGGAGTTCTCCCCCCCTTTTATTTCCCTTTTTTTTTTTAATAGTTTCTTGAGAACAGCTCGATRAGACTTTGAGTTTTGAGACAATTTATAAAACCGAGGAGGGAAACAAATAGGGCATAGGATGCTGGAAACTCATCGGTCCCTTCACAACTGCACCATTTCGGATCGATACTTAGAGGTCAATTTGTCATTGCCAAGCGAGCACATCTTTCTGCATCTCAGTCTTTATTTCTGCTTCCCTCCTTCCCCTTTACTCAGCACGTTGCAGGGTGGCGGAAGAATGGGGATGCCAGGTAATAAATCAGAGGCTCGAATTGCTGGGTGCGAGCGGTGGGGGGATTTTGGGCAGCGCTGCTGGGCGATTCTCTCCGACACCATCCCGTGTGAGGAGCAGAACGGAGCTGAACCCTTCAAGTGATTCGGTTATGCCCCGAGGCTGCCTACCGCCTGCTCATTCCGATGCACGGTTCCAAGAAAGTCACAGGAAGTAATTAAATGGAAAAGGTCAGGGAACGAGGAAGTGTTGGTCCGCAGCCTTTCTCTGCTTGGGATGGAGCCGTGATGCCCTGGCCGAGCCTTGTCCCGGGAGTGTCCCCGCCGCTCCAACGCACGCTTGATTTATTCTAGCGAGCTGTGAGCACTCCTGCCAAGTGTTTTTGCAAGCGGGACTGGTCCCCCGGAGGGTTTTAACAAGCTGGGTTAAGTGGGATGTATGTAGGGTTGCTGCAGTGGTGTCTGGGACAGCAAAATGTGGCGTGAGATCACACCGATGCATTTCTCCCAGTATAGGGAAAGAAAATGAAAATAACTCACTCCTGTTGGTTCTTTTGCTGGTCTCAAAAATGTCACTTCTCTCTGTCACTGAGTAGACACAGACTCAATATTCAGAGCAACCATCGTTTATCAATATTGCACTTTGTCCTTTGTACTGAAAAAAATGCTTTTTCCCCCCTTCATTTTCACTGCGTTTTTCCTCAATTCTGATTATTTTTCTGTAGATATCAAAGGCAGCTCGTTCAGCTAAATTATTTTGCTGCAAGTTTCAGCCAGGGAGGAAGGCATGGGACACACTGTGYGTTATGACATTATCACTCGCAAATAGGACAGGAAATGAAGGATTGCCAAAATACAACTGTTTATTTCTTGGCCTGAAAACATGCCTGTTTAAAATATGACATCTAAGTAGCTGCTTTGTTCGCTCTCTGGGAGAAATTGTTATAAATAAGGGAATAATAGATCTGTCAGATGAAGAAAGTGGGAAAGAAAGAAGGGCTTTTACCCTTTCTATTCTTCCTACTTCTGTTTTTGAAATGCCTTGAAAAGAAGTTGTAGGTAAAAGTTGTATGGAGAGSGTGTTTTGGTCAGACAACTGGAAGRGAAACGTGGGAAGAGGGTTGCCACAAGYGGAAGGGAGCTGGATTTTAATTTTCTCAGCACATTAGTCCATGCAATGGCCCTGGGCAGCCCTTGGATAACGCAGATTCTGCGTCAAAAAGGAGAAACCAAAATAACCTGCCTTTGGGCCAGAAAGTGGGGGTTTTGGTGCAGCTCCCCTCCTTGAGGGGTGCGGTGGTGGTGGTGGGATGGTGTTTGAGTGCGGCGCAGATGCTGCACCAGCAWTGGAATCATCTTTGACCTGTTTTTGCAGCCTGTTTTTTATCTCACCAAGGCACACCCTGGAGCGTGGGTTAAAAGGTAGGTTTTATCTACCTGTTTAATTAAATCCTGAGGCTGCAAACAAAAGTACGTTGTGTGGTAAGGCTCGCTCTTAACATGGGCTTGGTTTGCTGGTAGCTGGATTTAAACCACAAAATTGTTTCCTGTCAGCCACCAAATTGCAGGGAGATGATGGTAGTTGTCCTCCTTCTTCTGGACCAAGCTGGAAAATAGGAGCTCAGGAATGAGAAAGAGCTTAACTATTGGTTTCAATCCCTCCTTTTTCTTTCTTACCCACTCTGGCATGCTTGAGGAATCAATAAATTCAATTTCCTTCCCTCCAGCAGAATGGACGTAGGAACTGCTTCCTACAACAAATTCATTGAAAAATGTGGCCTTTTTTTTTTCCTTTTTTTTTCCCCTTTTTAACAGCACAAGGTGATCTTCCTTGCCAGAGCTGTGCAGGGGTGGAGAGGGCACAGAGATCAGTGAAACTGAAAGTACAGCTCTGGAGACTCTGTTTTTGATGCATGCCCTGTTTGCTAAGTGGAGCATTTGATTTTTGGAGGTCTTAGGCTTCTAAAGCAGTGTAGAAATTCAAAAAGAAGTAAAATAGAAAAGGTCAGTTGACTAAAAAAGGCACAAATAGACTGTGGAGTTGATTGACAGGAGATGGGAGCTGCAGCAGGTCCCCATTTCTGTAGATACCAAGAATGAGTAAGAAACTGTTCTCACATAAATCCCAGCACTGGAAAGAGAGGTCTGCTCCAAGCCTGGCAGCAAGCAGGGCAGCATCTCCCAGCAACTTGGTTGTGCTGGCCATTTCTTGCCACTTTGGCCATGGGTAAACTGAGCTGATGGTTTCTAATGATTTTTTTCTTTCTTCTTTTTTTTTTTTTTTTTTTTTTTTTTTTTTTTTTTTCTTTTCTTACCTTTTGGTTTTCTGCCAATTTCTTCTGAGTTTTCCTTCCTTCCCGTTTCTCTACCCACGTCCACCCCCTTTCCTTGTCAAATTCCCTTTAATCATTTATTTTTCTGGTGCTTGCTCAGTACTGTAAACCTGACCCTCTCAAGCTGCAGAGAAATGCAGCTGGGCTGCACTGGCTGCCTTCTCTCTGCATCTGACCCTCACCTTGGGTTTTGCATCAGCTCTTGGGAGCAAAGGCTGGCTTTGCCCATTGGTTTATCAGGATTTGGTTCCTCTCAAGGCAAGGAAAACAGTCTGCTGGCCTCCA